TCAATAATAAATGGTAGTTTCTCCACAATGATACTGTTCTCTCATTTTACAGCCTCCGGTCTCTGTGCTTTTGCTCACCATTTTTCCTTCACCTGTAAAAACTTTATTCACTTTTCATCCACTCTTGATCACTCATATAGAAACTGCAATTTCTGGCTGCTCCGTTCCCCAACATAGGAGTGATATAAGCAACCCCTTCTCTTAAATTATTTGATAACTTTTTGTTGTATACTGGAATGTATTACGGAGGCTAGCCTCCTCTACTTCTCAAGTATTAGAAAGTAAATGACTTGAGGGTAATTTTGTACCCCTCATAACATCTAAAAACAAATTGCTACTTAAAAAGTATTTGCTTAATGAATTGATACTAATGGATTTGTTTTTTTAAAAACACATCTGGAAAAGACATTATTTAAGCTCACAGAAAAGATGGTAGAATTTCAAGCCTTGGGAGGAGATATCTCGGAACAGAGATCCAACCCCCAACCCAGTACAGCATATTGCATAGTTACAGTCACACTACCCACATGCCAATCTGTCATACAACCAAGAAGTTGTAGAACATGGACCAGATCCCAGTTCTCATGAAAATCCCTTCTATTGCTTTTTATTGCTCTGACTCTTCACAATACTTTATACATCAACCAGTAGCTAACAATGCACAAGCCACCAGGAAATTCCCTGGGAAATGAATGTATTTACCTCCTCACTTCCCATATCTGAGGATTATGCAGTAGATTATTTGTTCACAGGAAGTTAAGATAGTGAGGTTCAAAGACAGAAGAAGTTCTGAAAAGAAAGATGATTCAGTTAGAAATTCACTGTTTTTACTCCTGCATTGGCTATTATACTTTTCTAATATACCTTTTGGCACCAGATAATAGTTTCATGTGGCATTCAAGAATGGATGATGAATGAGCTAGACATTTAAAACTCATTCTTGACAGAGAGTTAAGAGTATTTTGCCTTTCTTTTTCAATTCTTTAGTAAAGACTTCCTAAAGAAATCATTCTTTCAGAGGTGGTTGAAGAGAGGGAGTCGGTGCCATGGGCTTACTAGAGCATATTTTATGGCATTTGTTTGAACCCCTCCTGCTACCTATCACAGCTCAATTGGTAATGTTCTTTTTTTTTTTTCTATCCCTCATGCCCTGTACTATTCTCCATTTTTTTAAAGCTACCATATATATTTCTATCTTGCTCTTCTTACTATCACTAAGCAACTAGATAAACAGACTAAAGTTCGGGGGATAATTACAGCATCTCTAAAATTGTCACTGGTATCACTTCTCCATCAGTATCTATCAGATACCAAATGCTATCTTCACTCAAACTTCCCACATCAAATAAAACAACAAGGACATTTCCTTACAATCCCTAACACATAGCTATTAGAACTGCAGTGAAATCCAGAGTCTTCTTATCAAACGAGACTACAAAATAAATATTCTCATAATCATTTCTATCCTGAAGTGGCACTATTCTTTTCTTTCTACCGCTGACAACTCAATGTTTCAAACTGTGTATCGCTACCTCCTCTGCTGAGAATTCTGAGAAGTATCCCCAAAGCATCATTAAAGAACTATTTTTTTTTTTGTCTCCTATCAGTTGTGTCCCAACGTGCTAGTTGATATCTATACTTTTCCTCAAAACTCCAGGGAGCCATTATTGCAACATTATTTTTGGCACAGTTCCATCTTTGCCCCAATTAGTGAAAAGAATGAGAAAAT